GCAGGGGATGCCGAGGAGCCAACTGGGCCGGGGGCGGGCGGGGTCCTGACGCCAGGCGGCCCACTCCGCGTCCGCCGCCCGCGCGGCCCGTCGGGCCTCGTCAAAGCAGTCGAAGACCATCGCGTTGAGGTAGGGGTTCACCCGCCGGATGTGGTCGATGTAGGCGCGAACGACCCCTTCGCAGCTGAGGGTGCGCGCCGCGTAGGCCCGGCTCAGCGCCAACGCGGAGAGCTGCTGGCAGGGGGCGAGAGGGAGGGGGGGGAGCTGCCGCGAGGTCCGCGGGCCCGCCATCTGAAACGCGTGAAAGAAACGATCCCGCAGGAAACACACCCCGACGCCGTAGACGACGAGCCCGAGGAAGGACCCCAGCCACCACGCGAGCCCCGCACCGAGAAGAAGGATTCCTACCACAACACGCATCTCGATCCGCCGTCGCGTTTTATAGAAGGGATGCGGCTAAAAGGAGAACCGAGTTTGGTATTCGAATACAAGTACTGCCCAACCCGTGTGAATACGCCCTGCGCAGCCGAAGAAAAGCGCCCCCTTCGTCAATAGCGGTTCTCTTCTTCTTCGATTGGAAAGTGAAGCTTGTACCCCTGGTCGGTACCCGTGTTCTGACGTTCACAGTATACCTTGCTCTTGCTCTGGATGTATATTCGCACAAAATTGGGTACTATTTTTTTTTAGCGGTCTATCAATTTAGACCACCTTTTCCCTCTTTTTATTTTGTTTGTATATGAATGTAAAAAAGAAGTTAATACAAAAAGAAAATATCTTGGACGATACTTACAAATAAAAACACAATGTAGATTTAGCAAAAGAAGAATAAGTCATCTTCGCCGAGGTATATCCCTTCCTCCACTACCTCTTCGAGAAAACATAACGATAATAATAGTGCGGGCAAAGAATGCAATACCTTTCTGGCTAATAAATATTTAGCGATAGAAATATGCTATGGATTCCTTACCGCAATGACTCCCTACCAAGAGATCAGAAATAAAGACGGTTTCGCCTGATTAATGAATTTCCATTGTTGTTATTATTGCTTTTACTATTATTAAGGGGTTCGTATCCTTCCTTTTTTCTTCTTTACACATCTGGCGCGTTAGGGGCATCTCGAAGATGAGTGAGATCAGAAAAAAAGGAAGAAAATATCCGTCCTGAAAGATCCACAGAAAACGACCACAGTCCTAAAAACAGAGGAATACGCAAATCTTCACGCAGGGCGTTTTATCCAAGTAGCTCTACCAACCCTTCTCACATGTGTCCTCTTCTGCGTGCGATAATTTACAGACCTCACCCAGACGGGGTTTGCCCTCCACCCTCAGGAGAACCCGTCCCCAACAGCAGCAATTTCCATCATACATTTACAACCCTTCTCCTTTTCCTTTTCCATTGTTAGTATTATATTACTTTTTGGGATGGAGGCTCACTCTCCCCCTCCTTAGGGGCCTCAACTCTTCTTAATTGCGCTGAAAATTCCTGCCATACCGCGCTCTGCCCTGCCGTGCGGCGGTGCAACGCCTTGACGTATTTAAACGGGATCGCAAGGAGGTCGATGCCGCGCACGGCAACCTCCCTTTCCTCCATTTTTTCATTGTCGTCTCCTTGATAAAGCCTCTGCTCGACGCATTCGCGGAGGAGGAGGTCGCCGCCGCCCTGGTAGGCGACGAGCGTTCCAACCACCACGCGCCCATCGCTCAGCTCGACGCGGAGCTCGCGACCGAGAAAAGGCTGCTGCTGCATCGGAGGGGGGCTGCCGCCGTGATTCATCTTCTCACAAACTATCGTTTTACAGTTGAATCGCTTTGCGATGCGTGTTTTCTTAATGAAACATCATTCCAGATAGGATGAGGAAGGGAAGAAATACAATAAAAGCACCCACCAGCAGCAACAAAGCCAGCGAGGCTTACACATAATAGAAAAAGGCACTGATAAAGCACTGGGGGAGGGGGGGGGGAGGAATTTGACATGGCCAGACAGTATCTTGTTTTAAATCACGTGGTGTATTTAACATTGATTCTAGTTTTCTTTTCTAGAAGCAATTTCTTTTGGAATACTCAACTAGCATAAGACAAAAAACATCCGTTTATACGTCCATAGTCTGAATATGGGATGCTCGAATTTACAGATAATTGGACTTACTTATCTCTGACCTCAGCAACAGCAATAAAATACCAAATATTGAACAGCAGATTCGGGTTGTCTAACCCTTCTCACCCCCTTACACAAAAACGAAGGTAAGCAAAGCTATCACGATGCTTTACATTTTTCACGATACCCTGAAAAGGAGGGGTATCGATGACACGGGATGTGTGCGAGTGAAAT